TTTTTTTTTTTTTTTTTTTTTTGATAGAGGGGGATGGAGAAAGTGGATAAAACAGACTTGCATTTCCCAGTTGAAAAGATGAGTTCCTTTTTCGTCTCGCATTTCTCATCAAACAAATACGGAAAAATCATCATATTGAAAATGCGTTACTAACCCACCAAGCCCTTCCTTCGTAAAGCCGTGTATTGTAAGTGATCCTAACCTGCCCGGAGCGAGCCTCCCATAAAGGCAAGTGAAGTTGGTGAGCCGTATGATGGGAAACTATCTCTTGCGGTTCGGACTCAGCTCTTAGTTAGTACGCCCTTGGTTTCGGGGTGTACCCTTTCACTCTATTTTATTATATATGCTTAGCGAAAATCATGTTTTTTTGATACACCTAGGACATGTATTCTATATGAACCAATGGATCGTGACAAGTCGTTACTACTAGCAATGATTTCCTCTTTCATTACTTCATCCTTTCCATATCCCTCTCCCTTGTTCTCAGTTACTCATCAAATGGCACTCAGTTCATATCTTTAAGTTCGATCATTGACAAGGTTCAAAGAAAGGGTGAGACATTGATAAAGAATCGATTCCAAATCACAATGCTAGCAGATGGTGGGCCTCCGCTTTTCTTTTCATTAATGAAACCTGCCAGTTATTTATTTATTATTAACTCAAATCAAAAAGACAAAAAAGTCTTTGTTCAAAAAGACTGGGTGGCATTATGACTGGGGTGTCCGTTAGAAAGGTTGTTACAATGTTCGTTCAAATAAAGCAGCATTCTTTTTTTTGACTTAAGGAGGGCTTGATAAGAAGGGCTTGGGACCTATGAAGAAACAAAACAAAAAACATGAAAGAAAGAAAGAATGAAAATGAACGGGAGGCGTCGGAGGAAGGACTGACGAACTACTTACTTGTCTTTGGTTAACTACTTTACTTTCTTGGGGTTCTTTCTCGTAAGTGGTATACCTACACCCTGCACACTCACTCTATCTATATACTACTACGTTGATAGTCTTTCTTTCGCAAACCTCTCTCTCTCTCTCTACTAAATCGCCATTTTTCAGGTCGAACCAAGCCCAGATCCAGCTGAAAAACGGAATGGAATACTCTAAGATGCTTCATAGCTTCAACAAGCCCATACCATATTCTTCCTGGGGAAAGATGAGAGTTCCAGCCCTTTATAGAAGAAAGAGCTCTTGCCTAAAACTCAAAAGAGAAGAGAACGTTCCTTCCGCAACGCAAGGGCGATATCTTTCATAGCAGCCAAGGAAGGATGAGTTTGATCCATTAGGTTCTTCGATTTATTCGGAAAAGGAATGAGAGAGAAGAAAACATCTTTGATTACGATTAAAAGGAACAATCTCAAATAGACTAAGATCCAATTTCGGGTCATTTCTTGGTGAACATGATCTGCCATAATCTCTTCGATCCCAGAATTTATGTGCCAGACTACAGATAGATTTGGTAGGAAAGTGGAAGAGACTTTTTTGTATATAATAATTAAAGGAAGAAGGAAAGCTGCTGTAATTCTTTGGAAAAGCCCGGTTCTCTTTGTCTTCGAGCTTGAATTCCTCAATGCACTATTTTGTTCTTTCATATACCTCCCCACCAATAGATATAGACAAATAGAAATAACCGAACCACGTCTACAAAATGCCAGTACCATGCAGCTGCTTCAAAGCCAACGTGATGCTCCTTAGTCAGATGACCAAGATATTGGCGAATACCATATATGATCAAGAAAAGAGTACCTATAATCACATGAAAACCATGAAAGCCAGTTGCTAAGAAAAAGGTAGAACCATAAATACTATCCGAAATAGTGAAGGGTGCTTGATAATATTCCATTCCTTGAAAGCCTGTGAATACTAGAGCCAGTGAAATGGTAGCTACTAAAGCGTAAGCAACTCGTTTTTCCTTCCCCGCGAGTATAGCTTGATGATCCCAAGTTACGGCAGCTCCGGATGAAAGGAGAATAGGGGTATTAAGAAAAGGGATTTCCCGATGATCTAAAACCCTAATCCCTTTTAGGAGCCAAATACCTCCGATCTCTACCGTGGGTGCCAAAGAAGAATGAGAAGAAGCCTGAAAAAAAGCAAAAAGGAACATAACATCCGATACGATAAACAGAATAAAACCATATCGAAGTCCTAATTGTACTACTTTGGTATGATGTCCTTCCAATGTGGATTCACGTAGAACATCGTGCCACCAAACGAACATGGTATATAGGAGAAATATGAGGCCCAAACTGAGAAGTGTTGCACCCTCTTGAAATGAGTGCATGTACATCACACCTCCTACGGTGGTTGCCAAACCTCCGAGTGAACCCGAAATGGGCCATGGACTTGGATCTACCAAATGAAAAGAATGCCTCTAAGATTCAATCATAAACCACTTTGCCTCGGTTGTATGTAAACCCCCCCTTCACCCCCACTAAAGTGGTAAAGAAGGGCTGGGGTCTCATTTTCTTTCTATCTGACAGGACAAAAAAATAGGAAGGGATGGTTCTTTCATTGCATTGATAGAAGTCTAACTAGAAAAATATCTCTCTATTCCTTTGAGAGGAGAATCTCGTTGGTTTGACCGACGAACTACGTGGGAAGACCTTCCTTCTTTCGTTGATTTTCAGCAAGCATTTTAGTAAAGTCAGAATTCTCTGCAGTTTGGTTTCGGAAAACTTGTTGGTCGTGGATTAGTACGTTCTGCGCCGCCGGCGGCCTAAAATGAAAGGCACAGGTTGATCTCTCTGGTTGAGGATTCATTTATTCAACTTTACACGCGGGAAGGGCTTACTCTCCTCGGCTTGGTCTCGCTCCCTTCTCAGACTATTCCTCCCCACTAAAAAGAGCGATTGACTTTCTCGATAACCTTTTTGAACGTCCTTCTTCGCGTGGGGATTTGAAAAGGAATATATCTCTCTTGTAATGCTTTCTACTATTCTGATCGAGAAAGAATCTCTTCCGAACGACCATGTAATAATGAGATTAAAAAATGATGCTTCCTTAGCCGTGTAGAACATGGATTAGCATTATGTCATTCCTACAAGCGATCCCCCATCCAGGATTGGAAGAAGTGCTATATGAGGACTTCGAGATCAAATAGAATATATTTCTTTCGAGACCTCGTGAGCCACTTATTTCTCTGAAACAAGAGAGAAAAGTGATTTGACTCCTTTTTCCCAATAAGTCGACGGCGTTACACCATTGGGATACTTCGAATAAACTAGAGTACATATAGGATACACCGGTGCTAAAACCTTTTCTCAAGATATCTTCCAAACTGTTGGGGTCGTTGCTCCGTATCTTGTTCCCCCGGTGTGAAACCAGTTGGTTCCGTAGTTTGAGAATTCTACTGATCCCAAGTACTCCATCTCCATCATTGCATATGGGAATATAGAAAGTCAAGAAGAAAAGGCATGACCGGAAGAATTGTGTGAAATAAGTCAATTTATCCAGTTGAGGCATTCTTGATTGAGAAAAAATGATTGATTATTCCCTCCAGACAGAAAGAGACTCCTTCCTGTACGAGTAGTGAAGAACTATAGAGAGTTGTAGTTGGTTGTTGACCAACGGAAAGCATGGGAGAAAGAAAGATGCACAAACGAAAGAAAGAAAGAAAGAAAAAGGGCGACTTCATAAAAAGCAAGAAAAGCGCCCAGCAAACTGCGAACCTGACTCGAGAGGGAAACCACCGAGATAAACAAACTAAATAAAGAAGGGGGCGGGAGCCCGCCCAGGTCAAGGGTCTCCCCGATATCTTTTCTCAACAACAAAGTGAAAGTAGAAAAACCTAATTCTTACATCACCACGGCCCACTTGGTTTTCTTTCTTGCGGAGCGGCATACCGAAAAAAAAAGAAAGAAAAAAAGGCGAGGAGAAGAGGAGAGGGAGTCAGGAGTAAGGAAGGAGAGAGACCGATAGGGAGAGGGAGTATGGAGCTCGACTCGAAGAGGAGAGGGAGTAAGGAGTAAGTAGCTCGACCGATAGGGAGAGGGAGAGGAAACCTTTTCTGTTTTTTTATAGCATAGCGGTATTATGCCAAAAGACTTTTTAGCAGATTGTAGGGTTATCTCTAATCTGCTCCATCCATTCGTGGAGGGGTTCGACATCAATCTACGTAGATATTTCCAGATCCTGAGAAAGAATGTTTGTTATTGGCTATTTCCGAATACATATTTCTCATTTCTTGAAAGTGAGGGCTGCACTCGCCCTCTTTCACACTCTGAACGTAGTTGCTGTGTGACTAACGTGTGAATTTCCCTGAGAAGTGCCTCAGGGGATGGGGATCGCGGTGCGGGACTTCTGCCGATGCTGGCGCCTTTGGCAGCGCCTCTTGATCCGCCCCCGATTGTTGATTGGGGTTTTGATAGGGGTTGCCCCAGGAACTGGCAGGATTCGCGGGCGAAGCCGAAACTGTGCGACCTCTGGAGCGACTATCTTAGCCGTGGGATCGGCCTCTTGCCTAAGGCGGGTGCACGGAAGGGTGAAGGCAAAACTCGAAAGGAATTTACTGATTCTTTTTCTATTTCCTCTTTCATTTCCAAATCTCAAGTCAAGGCATTAGCGCATCTGTTTTCTTGCTCGTTACCGCTTTACTAATCAAATAGAAGGAGGCAAGCCAAAACCAACTCCTAAAAAGTGGCTGAGTTCGCCTTTCGGGGTTACCCACTTGATTGAGGGCTTAGTAATATATAAAGAGGAGGAAGCTGCGAGACCGAGAAATAGGGAAGGAGCCCCCGAATTTGGCCTTTTTGTTTAAGTAAGGGCAGCTCACCTTTTTTAATAGAAGGAAGTGGGATAGCATTGGTTCTTTCGGTAAACCAATGCATGAGCTGAGGCTCCCATGTCCCGCCGACCCTTCGAAAAAGTCAGGTCGTCAAACGGCTCATAGGGATTCAGAAGCAAGCGGAGTCAAAGGAGGGTCAAACTCACATAAGCGGAGGGGGAGAGACATTTATGAAAAGCGAGAAGCCGTGAGGGACTAGCCAACTATGATATAGATATCTGACTTTCGGGTAAGAGTATGAAAATCTATTAGTCTGTATCATGGGTCCACTTGTTACAAAAGGCGAACATCCCTATTCCAAAACATACACATAAGTCCTCAGGCAGGCGGGGACGAAAAGAGTCTATTCCTTTACAACAATATTCTGGAATGTATCATGGCCCTATCATCTTTTTATTAAAAAAGAAGAGTTCTGCATCTCTCCGAGGCCGGGAGAACAAATAGGCGTGAGGAAGAGGGAGAGGGGGGGCTACGAGCCCTCTCCCGTTGCTGTTCCTGGATCACCCATCCCTTCCTTCCCCTTTGCCCACCCTGGTGAGATCCGATGAGATCAGATCTCTCGAACGAAGTTCAGTGATAGGAAGAGAAAACAGCTGGCGGGAGATCTCTATGCATTACCACCCCCTTGTATAGGTTGTGGAAAACAGAAGTGTGCTCCTGCGCACTGAAGGATGGCATAAAGATACCTGATTATTAGAGAAAGGGGCAAGGCAAAACCAACTCCTAAAAAGTTGCCGAAGTATCTCGAAGATTCTCCATACGCCCGACAGCTGCAGAGGGGGTTCGATTCCCGTTATACGCGATGTGGCAAAAAAACGGATTCAACAAGATATGCCTTGCCTGCATTAAGATTTCAAACTTGTCGTCTACTTTTAGGAAATGTTCGGAACAGAGAACTTACAATAATACAACGCCGCATTCTCCGAAAATTGAGAAACAAGAGGAGATCTATTAAGAGAAAGATTTATCCGAGAGAAAATCTTAACAGTTACATACAATCACAAACTACACGAAAGTTGCCCCTTTTTCATGGGGATTTACCCATCACAGAGACGCATAGAGGAAAAGAACGAACTTCTTATATCCCTTTTCCACTCAATCTAGAAACAAGATCGAACGTTATTCCGGTTCGTCTCCATTTTAGTTCAACTCTTTCTCAAGCAAGGCAGCCGATAAGTCATCGAAGGGTATGTGTGAATAAAGGAATGGTCCCCATTACTCATTTTAAAGTGTCTCACGGTGATCTAATATCTTTTCAAGAAAATGACGCGAGAATCTGCGGTGAAGAAATAAGGAGATCTTTCTATATCGAAATCTCAGTTGAAAAAATCATAGGCAAATTCCTGGATCACCCGGAAAGAATGTCTAGAACTAAAACAGAATGTTTCCACCTACTCAAAACTCAGAGGGGATGCCGCCTACTACTAAAATCCCAATTTTTGCAACAGTTGCGTTCTTCTATGCAAGAATCAGACTTAGAAAGAAGAAAGAAGTTTGGATCGGATAAAGTATGCTTAGGCAGTTCCTTCGCTGAGCACATCCCTCACGACATAAGATTGAAAGATCCAAACCTTCCTCTTCGGAGCGGAAATGGACGTGGCCAAAACATATAAAGATTTGCTCGATCGGACATATCTATCCATCTCGAGTCTCGTCTAGATCAATTCATAGATCGATTTATATCCATATGTAGCGGTATCCCCGTGGATAAAGATAAAGATAGGGATCCATCTAGATCTTGATTCACTATTTCCATTTGATTGATTGCCTTTTGACAACAAGTTTTCAATCTTAATGCTGGCAAGGAAAGAAAAGAGAGTTTGATAAGATATGGAACCACTACAAGGGGAGTAAGATTCGGATTACTTTGTTGATCGAATATCTCAAGGCAAGAACATTGTTTGAGATTCGAATCACTCCACAAACAAGATCGATCATGTCTAGCTTGAATGATTCTTGTTGATCAAATATCTCAAGTCAAGAACACTTGCTTGAGATTCGAATCACTCCACAAGCAAGATTGATCATGTCGAGCTTGAATGATTCTACATGCAACCTAAACTACATAGAATTGCAAAGAAACTTAGCCATTGGCTAAAGAAGAGCACAAATGCTTCTTTTACTATATTTTTCCAGTCTCTTACACATACAACATACATGGCTTTATATAGCCTCAAAATGAAACTACTAAAGTCATTCCAAGAGTTGTAACATTCATACCTAATGGCCATAATTAACCATTATGTAATTGTAACCTATAGTAAATAAAGTCTTAAAATACATAAATGAAATACAATAACTCTAAATTGTAACCCACCCAAAATTTATAACAATCAAACTTCATTCTTCTTTAATGTGGCATGAATTGAAACATCTTTTGATAATTTTGACAACCTTTTCTTCACATCTTCATTGAAGTATATTGTATGATTGATGTCTTTTGGTTCATATCATTCTCCACTTCTTCAAGAGGATTCGTCCTCGAATCTATTTGTGAAACTTTGCTGCAAAAAATAAGTTATGGAAATACAAAGGACCTCATAACACTCTCTCACGTGTATACACTCAAGGAATTTTAGGCCACTCTGTTTGCACTCATTTACACAAATGAATCTCTCATCCTCACCTCTCAAATTTTCTAGTAGAGCCCAGATTTGATTTTCTTTATTTTGGGTCGATTAAAAACTAAAAAGATAAAAACAAATTGAAAAGAAATGCAAAGGAAACATATATCCGATCTTGAGCCTTAAGCTCTGATACCAAATGATAAGATATGGAACCACTTCAAGGGGAGTAAGATTCGGATTACCTTGTTGATCGAATATCTCAAGGCAAGAACATTGTTTGAGATTCGAATCACTCCACAAACAAGATCGATCATGTCTAGCTTGAATGATTCTTGTTGATCAAATATCTCAAGTCAAGAACACTTGCTTGAGATTCGAATCACTCCACAAGCAAGATTGATCATGTCGAGCTTGAATGATTCTACATGCAACCTAAACTACATAGAATTGCAAAGAAACTTAGCCATTGGCTAAAGAAGAGCACAAATGCTTCTTTTACTATATTTTTCCAGTCTCTTACACATACAACATACATGGCTTTATATAGCCTCAAAATGAAACTACTAAAGTCATTCCAAGAGTTGTAACATTCATACCTAATGGCCATAATTAACCATTATGTAATTGTAACCTATAGTAAATAAAGTCTTAAAATACATAAATGAAATACAATAACTCTAAATTGTAACCCACCCAAAATTTATAACAATCAAACTTCATTCTTCTTTAATGTGGCATGAATTGAAACATCTTTCGATAATTTTGACAACCTTTTCTTCACATCTTCATTGAAGTATATTGTATGATTGATGTCTTTTGGTTCATATCAGAGTTTGTCTATTATTACTTGCAGGATCGGAGCGTATACGAGCGAGCAGAGCCCAGGGAACGAACGGGGAAGCCCATTATAGAGCAGTCGACTATCAGTATCAGATGGCCTGAGAGAAGACGGCCTCTCTCGGGAAAGATGGCCGAATTTCTCTTCTTTCTTTTTTCTTTCTGGTTTCTTTCTTCTTTCAGGGGCCCATAACGCTAAAAGGTGGGGGAGAAGCAAACCGAACCTCTGATCGACCTGGAAACATAACAAATACTCGGCGTCGAGAGAGATTTGAGATTTTGTAAGTAACTCAGCGAGTGCTTTCTAATAAGGGCTTGACTTGGAAGAAGAAAATGAAATACGAACAACAGCGCTGGTCGTAATAGATCCACTTTCTGGCTAGTTCTTGCTCTAGTATGAAAGTTCCATTTCAGGGAAGGACGACGTACCATGATACATTCCATTTTGTTTCCCATCCCAGTCTTTCGCAACACTTCAAGTTTACTTCTTTTGTTAGGTCTCGACTTCTTCGCTATGATCTTCCCAGTAGTTCATATAGGAGCTATAGCCGTTTCATTCCTATTCGTTGTTATGATGTTCCATATTCAAATAGCGGAGATTCACGAATCAGTCTTGCACTATTTACCAGTGAGTGGTATTATTGGACTGATCTTTTGGTGGGAAATGTTCTTCATTTTAGATAATGAAACCATTCCATTGCTATCAACCCAAAGAAATACGACCTCTCTGAGATATACGGTTTATGCCGAAAAGGTACGCAGTTGGACTAATTTGGAAACATTGGGCAATTTACTTTATACCTATTATTCCGTCTGGTTTTTGGTTTCTAGTCTGATTTTATTAGTAGCCATGATTGGCGCTATAGTACTGACTATGCATAGGACTACTAAGGTGAAAAGACAAGATCTATTCCGACGAAATGCTATTGATTTTAGGAGGACTATAATGAGGAGGACGACAGACCCACTCCCGATCTACTAAAGGGAAAGTAGCTTCATTGGTTCAAATCCAAGTCATGAGATGGCAGTGACGGTGAGGAAAAGGCGTAGGTTGGCCTGGCTTTGGCTTGCTCTGGGCATTATGGCGATTGATGATCCCTGGTGCAAGCAAACAATAAGTCAGAGTCCCTTAAAAAACTCCCAGTGTATAAAGGAAGGTTCTGGCCCCCCAGGCGTTGCAGGGTTCCTCACTCGGGTATCAAGACGAGAAAGAAAGGATATAACAGTGCATTGAAAGATCCAACAGTCAAAAGGGAAACAGACAGAAGGGAGACGAAAGAAAGATGAATGAGAGTGAACTCCGGAACAAGAACCAGAACCTCTATGACCTGAGCTACTTCACCTTTACATTACAGTCGGTAAAAGAAAAAGAGAAAGATGAAAGCTAGATGAATGAGAGTTTACAGTCTTTGAAGGGAGACGAAACGAAAGAAGAATTAGACTGAACAGTGAAAGAAAGAGTAAATGAATTAGCTACTTCACCCATTTACCTTATGAATGAGAGTGAACTACTGAACTTGAAAGTGTTGAAAGGAAAGACGAAAGAAACTAAAGCTTAATTAGACTTTACAGTGAAAGAAAGAAGGGAAAGAGAAGGGAGACTCCTTATGAATGAGAGTGAACTACTGAACCTGAAAGTGTTGAAAGGAAAGACGAAACGAACGAAGAATTAGACAGAACATAACAGGACTATTACTGATGAACCTTCCCCTGAACCTATATTCCCTTCACTCCTGACCCTATTTCTTCAAACACTGTAAACAAAGATAAATACCCCTTCCCTTATTCATGATCCTTTAAGGATCATTTCTTTGAAAATTCTATCCTCTGTCTATTTTTTTGGATATTTTTGGCCGAGGTAATTAACTATTAAGTCAAGACTCAAGGAAAGACTCAACTCAACAAGAATTCTCGTTCACTGTCAGACTCATTAGACTGATCCTACTGATTTCACTCATTCGACTTCCCTTCGCTACTGAACCAGACGGATTGAACTGTAAAAGAAGAAGAAAGATTCATCTCTTTTCTTTCCCTTCCCTTATTTCTGGAGGTAAACTCGTCTCACAGCTTCGCCCCTCTCCTTTGTCTCACAGCTTCGCCCCTGAACCTGTCGGTCTCACAGCTTCGCCCCTTTCCTCTTACTTAATTATCCTTCACCAGATTAAACTGTAACCTAGTTTCAAATCTTTGCTTTGATTGAATTTGATTCTCTTCAAGACTCAAAAAATGAAAGAAATATGAATGAGACTTAACTATTGAACCACCTATCCTTATTCTTTCTCCTAAACCAGATTGAACAAGGTAAGTAAAGCGACTGAACCCATATGACCTGAGCTACTTTCTGAACTGATATTACAGTGTTTGAAAGAAGGAAGAAGACGAAGACAAGATGAATGAGAGTGAACAAGATGGAAAGTGTAAATGAATTAGCTATTGAACCTGAAGGAAAGACTGAACTCAAAATTTGACAGATGGAACTCGGTAAAAGACAGAGACAAAGAGAAAGTCAATCCTCAACTCTCGATGAATGAGACTGAACAGGCTGGATGAGAATCAGGTCAAGCTCAATCACCGGAACCTATTTCTTCTTTCACCTATTCATTGTCGGAAGTCAAGAGTCAAGATTCCTTTTCCAATATTACCTTGCTTGCCTTATGGAGGTAAAAGTAGCTCTTTCCTGAACCAACCTCTACTTCTCTCCTTCACTCCTGAACTTGTCCCTTCCTTGGTAAATAGGCTTTGATTACCTCCTGAAAGTGCTTCAAGGAAAGACTCAAAAAGAATGAAACTTTACCCGTGTAAGGGAATGAAAGATTCATTCGACTCAACAAGATTCATTCGACTCAACCTATTTCTTCTTGAACAGTAAACAAGGGCTCACTCCTTTTCCTATTTATTCACTGTAAACTAAGACGATGAATGAGACGAAAGAAGAATGAGACTGAACCTGTGGGTAAAGCAGCTGAGCTCCGGAACCTGAACCTGAACCTCTACTCTATTAGTTGACCTGAACCTATGTTATCGAGAAAAAGAGGTGAAAGAGATAGTGAAGGGAGAAGAAATTAATTAGCAGCTTTACAGTCGAGTAAACCAAAGAAAAAAGGAAGAAGACTCAAACAAGATTAATGAGAGTTTACAGTATTTTCAGGGAAGGGAGACAAGACTCTTTCTTTCTTCATTCTCCTTTAAGGACCATTTCTTTGAAAATG